TTCCATGTGCATTTTTTCCAGTGGAAAAAACTTTTCACAATTGAGGTCCCGAAAACAAACTTATTATTGAGGATCAGGTGCCTGCCTGGTCTACTACCTTGAAAATTTGTTTAGGAGCAATGTTTTATAAAGGGTTTAATTGGGTTCAGAAGGAAGGGGGGGGAGTGCAGGTGGACAGGGTTCAGAAGGAATTCAAACCCTCATTGATTGGGTTTCCAATTTAAAAATTTAGGGCCAAAAAAAGAAATTAGCACTATAGAGGTACCATTTTTCAAACAGGGGTGGAAAAATTAGCATTATAGAAGTCCCCTTTACTAATCGTGATCCAACATTACATACATCCATGCATGCATACATACATACATCCATGCATGCATGCATACATACATGCAAAGACATCCTCGACAAATGACCACACTGCCAGACAGCATGGCAGACGACAAAGCCCGCCCCGAACCCAATGTGCTGCATGTCGCTTTGGTGCGACATGGCGCGACTCATGCGCCAGGAGGTCACCAAGGCCAATCATCGACATGGAAGTAACAATAAGCTACTAGGAACAAGTGCATCGCTACTAGTAACAAGTGCCTTACTAGTAGTAACAAGAAGCCATTAGAAACAATATGCACTTGTTACTAGTAGCTTCTTATTGCTACTTTGTATAAATATATAGAATGTGTGTTTTGATGGACATGTCCACCTTCTACGACACCATCGACCTGCTGCGACTTCAGCAAGACGCAATGAAGCTGGGCTACCCGCCCTTAGCACTCAAGCTAGCCATGCAGCTCTACACTTGGCCAAAAGCCATTCTGGCAGAAGAAGAGGTGACCCATTTCTTTCATGTTTCCCACGGAGTGGCAGCCTTGTGTCCCCAAGCGCCCTTGCTTGCAAAGCATATCTTGCTCCAGTATTGGCACCTTTTGCCATCCAGTTCCCAAAGATGCATTTCAACGGATGGGTCGATGACATTGGCTTTGGCCGTGAGGGCGCTGACCCCATCCAGCTGGCAATCTCTGCCGCTCAGGCCTACAGAGAGCTCCATGAGAAACTATGCACCTTGGACCTCAAAGTCGGCCCCAAAAAGACTGCCTTCATTACCACGGACAAGCATGCCAGCAGGGCTTTGACTGACCGCTTGGGCCCTGAAGAGCCCAGTGCAGCCACGGTCTTGAGGGACCATAGGGACCTCGGTATAGATCATCAAGCCGCCCGACGCAGGAGGATCCCAATAAGGAAACAACGCCTCAACAAGGCCAAGCACAGGGGCATCAAGCTTCCCTAAAGTTGCCAAACCTGCGCTTCAGGCTTCGACGTCATCGAGGTGGCATACAGCCTGTGGCACTATCGCAACTTTAAAACTATTTTAAAGTTTGGCTCCAAGGTACAAGCCATGAGGCACTGGCCACTAATTGGGCCAAGCAATGCCATCCTTCAGCGCATCAATCTTCACCAAGACCACACCAGAAGCCAAGGCACACAAGCCATCAGAGGATGACCAGCTCTGAAGCGGCGCAGCGCCCAAGCCGCGACAGCTCTTCAGCACTCAGACACCGAAGGGGCGACTCAGTGCCAAGAAGAGGACCATGGCGAGCTAGGAGAAAACACACATACGTACGACGTACATACATACATACACACATGCATGCATACATACATACATAATCCCTTCCACCTATTAAAAACACGCGCCCCCCCGATTGAGAAAACCTCGGGCGTATTTGCTTTAATAGGGGGGTTGTCCAAAATAGGGTCCATGGAAGGATCCTTGAATCATTGATTAACAAAAAAGGCACCTAGGAAAAATTTGTATAACAGCCGTTTTAAATTCATGAAAAATTGAAAGCCTCCAGATCGAAGGGTCTTCCTTTCCCTTTACAAAGACTCTTTTTTTGAAATAGTGATTCTTCATTAGACTATATTAGACTAACAACTGAAGCTTTCGAAAGGTGAGTCCGTGCCATTGGGGGAAGGAACACATGCTGGTGTAAACGCGGCGTGTCATAGTGGATAGGCAGGGTGGACAAAGGTGGGCAGTTAGGGTTGCTCTTGGAACCTAATTCAATAAACTCGACCAAAATCGGCAATGTTGGTAGTTTAGTAGCAGTATTCAAGGGCGGTAGTTTGAAAACAGTTATAAACCGTATTTAGGGGGTTCCGACATGATATATTTTATAAAAAATAGGGGTATTTTTAAATCGGTGCCCAGGATTCCTATCATACATACATAAATACACACATACATACAGTGCATACATGCATACATACACATACATATATACATACATACATACACATACATACATACATACACATAATACATACATTGTGTTTTTTGACTTTCCTCCTCGTAGTGGTCACTATGATAACTTGAAGTCGTGACTTTTGTATTTTGTCACAAGCTGCCCGGACCAGGCAAACTTTGACACGCTGCACATGACGGAGTTTTGCATGATTGAGCACCACCCTGTGCACTTCCCGTGCATCGAGGAAGCCAAAGCTGTGATTTTCCCCTTGGGGAATGCCTTGCTCTTCCTTGTAGTGGACACCTTGCTACTGGTGGTTCTCGTGTGGTGGTTGAGCCACATTTGGCAAGGCAAGTATGGCTCAGCAAAGCCCGCTTGCTTTTGTTTCATGCCCAAATATATGTGCGGAAAGCGCGCTCCCAGTGCGATCACTCCCGGGCCCTCACAGAGTGTTGAACAACCAGCTCTTTCCATCCGCCATTTGCGGAAGGTATTCCCAGATGGCAAGGTGGCTGTGGATGATCTAACTTTGGAGATTGAGAAGGGAGAAATCTTTGCACTACTTGGGCACAATGGTGCCGGAAAAACAACGGCACTCAACTGTGTCGTTGGCCTGACGCCCGCCACATCTGGTGAACTGGTCATCAACGGCTACAATGTGCAGACTGAACTGGAACTTGCGC